TATTCTTTATATATAAGGCGATGTAGCGTCGCCTCGGCGACGTCGCTGAAAAAGGCGACGCGACTTGCATACCTTGATCAAGAGTGGGTCCTGTCTAATCATTCAAATCAGGCACTTCTACCTTGAAACAACTAGAATTTCATGGTCGATTGGGAGACTCATCAAGTGGGGCTTTTTCCAAGATACAAAGAAAGAACAAGCTTAATCTTACCTGATTTTTATCAACTTCTAGCTCGTGTGCGATTAGCTCTGCTAGTTCCTCTGTGTGGGGCAACAGTTTGGCATATGTAATATTCAAAGTCATATCAAAGGTAATGAGCCCAATTTCAAAATGATCTGAAAAAAAGTAGAATCAAAGCAAACCTATGTTATTTTCTCACAGGAAATAATTCATTTTCTAGCCTACAAGATATGCTTAGACAACATATCCTACTTGCTTGCAACTAATAACAATCTTGAAAGCCTTTTGACTTCAATTCTAAAGCCACTGATTAACTTGAATCTTCACATAATAATAAGCAGAAGACAGACATTTACCAAATAGATCACTAGGAGAAGGAGCTGGTGAGTCATTCATTGTTGCATGTGTGTTTTCTGAAGGTGCAGGTGAAGGGACTCCACCAATATGCAATCTCTCCCATAATACAGAACAGTTGGTCTTCCAAAATCCAATCTTTTCATTCTGACGGTCATAACTTACCAGAGTATTGCGAACAATAATACCTGTCAGAAGAATCAATTAATATATAATTAATGAAAATGAAACATCATTTAACATTTCAGATATAATTATGTTGTAAAAAATGAAATGAAGCTCACATAACCAAATTTTACTAAACTATGTGGATTCTGTAAATATGATGTCGTACCCCCCAAAAGTGTTGTCAAGTCTTTTCCATTCTGAAATATTCCCAAGCAATAAGCACCACTAACCTTCGAGTGCTTTATTTTGGAGGGGAAAAAGAGAGAGAGAGAGAGAAAAATAGAGAACATATAAGTTAATCAAAACAATTGATAGTTGCACATTAAAAAGCAATACGGTAACAACTATAGAATAAATTATGGACACAATATTTATCCATTATATTAACGACGTCTAATGAATTTATAGTGATGTGTACCCGGAACAAGTAGTTCTCTGGTGAAAGTGAAAGGTTTTCTCCATTGCCAAATACCATCTCGACCTTTGGGAAGAACTTTGAGAGTTCAGAGACATCACTGGGAACAGTTCAAGACGGTTTTTAGTGAGCAAACAGTCGGCGAGAGATTTATATGTTTGACAAGCTTCTAGTTATGATATGGCAACAATACCTTCCAGCACCAGAAAAGCAGATATCCTTGTAATTTGGATCCGGTCCAGGAATTTGCTTAAGAGATAGCTTACTCATGATCTGTATGATTCGAAAAAATTCAAGAATCAATCAGTTAAATTGCATAAATATAAGATGATCAAGTGTTCTTCAGGAAACAAGCATCAGCACCAAACAAAAGTGTATTTTGTTACACAAAATAGATAAGTCTGATGCTTAAGCTAAATAGCTCAGGAAAGATGAAGGCCTGTGGATATCTTATGAATGAGATCACAAAATTTCCATAGTTATGGACCTTTGACCGATGTGCAATTTAAAATGCCACAGGCTATTAAGATAGTAAAACATAATGAGATAGGATGAGCCTGAAAAGTGAAGACAGAGACATTGGATAAAGAATGAAATTTGACTTTATAAGGGCCACTATGGAAAGGTGAAAGCAGGAAAAATAGAAGAAATCATGAGCAAGTATATTTATATGCTTGTCATAGGATATGAAGCACTTAAAAGGAACAGGAGGTGAGAAAATGGAGAGTATCAACCATGAAATTTGCAAGCGATAATGCAGCTAATAGCTATTATCTGTGCGAAAAAGTAGATTGGTTGTATTATTATCTCAAGAACTAGGAGACTAGAATCTAGAGTCCATATCTTCAAATATGTATATAGACCAAGGTTCACTGTACCACAATGTATTGTCTGGTACAGGAGGTATATGTTGATCCGACAAGGGACCAGTATGGGTGGTATATATCGATTTGTTGGTACACCTCACCATACCGTGTCAGTATACCATTATAGTGTTAAGCTGGTCGGTACACCGGTATGAACTAATAAGGTGAACTATGATATATAACTTGCAAATGTAATTTTAGTTTTATTGATCTTGAAATATTTTTAACTAACAAGCAAGGCTCTAATTTTCATCTGAATGGATGTGTAAAGTACAGCAACATCCAAATTGCATATAAACCAGTTAGTAAGATATTATTGCAGAATGTAGACATATGGCAGCCCAACTAATCTAATATAACCATCTTTACCCAGATATATACTATTAGCACCATGCTTTAAGGTGTCACTCAAAAGTTCAAACTTTTCAGCAAAAAGTTTCTTAAAGTTGAAAACTACAAGTTATCACAAATTACAGTCATAATGGAAAGGAAGAAAAAACAAAATTTGGCACTTGATGCCAAACATGACAATTTTAGTTCTTAACGTTTTGATGGTATACTTATATCTTAACACTCAATATCTAATCAGCAAGAAACCCCAAAACACAGGTGCTAATATCAGCTTTTGTGTTAATTTCAGTAGGAATTTTCAACTATCAAAGTTCCTAGTCCACCTAATTGTGACATTGTAATCTAATCATTATGCTGTATTTTAAAATGATATTGGCTAGAGAGAAAACAATATCATAGTAACAACCTCAAAATATCCAAAATTCATCATTGACACTTGTAAAAATAAAATGAGGTAACATAAAAGAAATTCAGAAAATGATCTTACAGCATCTCTAAATGCTATAAATGCTTCTTCTGGTAGATATGCGTATGTGGTTCCACTATCCAACACTGTGCCATGTCTGCTATCAAATATCTTTGGATCTAACTGCAGCGGCTTACCATCCACGTCTATTTCCTTCAGCTCAATATTGTAGTATGGGCTGTTGCCATCCCGAGACAAGTAAATCTGGGAAATGTATCATATGGATATGCAGAGACACTCTAAAGTTTGATTACTCCAATAAATGAAGATATGCCATACCTGCGAACAGGATCTGATCGGGAAAAAACCATGTCAGGAGGTGGAGTTATCTCACCAAGAACCATAGCACCTCCACCAATATCCATCCCCCCATAGCATAAAGAAAATGAATCATTAATAACACCCTTTTCGACGAGCTGGTCCATTATACTGAGCTGCCCACGGCCGAGCCCAATTATGCCATCAGCATGTTGACTAAACAAATCACCAGTTTCAGAATTTTCACAGCCAAAAACAGCACGCTGAGGTTTAAGCTCACTTTCTTTTCCAAATGATATGAAGTCCTCACCAAGCACACCACTGCTGGAGCTCATTTCAGCATATTGCCTCTCATAAACACACTGCTTTTGCTCTTTATCACAGGTACAATCAACATTGCATTTTACAGGTTCATATGTGCTTGACAAATCAGGTTGAAATCTTGGGTCCTAGACATCAACAGTTCAAATCAAGGTAAGAAGGCATACACAATAGTTTTCTAGGACACTGATCATTCGTTATCTGGATATATGAAGATATAACATAACAAACAAATGCAATCCATCTAAAAAATGTTCACCGCAACAATTCACTGAACTTAGAAAAAGCAATATGTTCCCCTAATATATCTGCAGCACAGAAACAGAATAACAACTATGCTTATCCTACTTTTTTAAAAAAAAATCAGTGCAACTCTTTTAAGTGTAAACAAACAAACAAACACCTGAGATGTCTAACCGCTCAGGATCTAAAGAACAGATCTATGCTTAACAAATAAGAACAGATTTGCGAATCATGATTAACCATTATTCCTTCATCTAATCACTTTCTAAGTTTAAGGGAATTGGAGGATTGATCCTTTGTTGCATAATCTTAAGCAATGACAAAGAATTTCCTTGCAAATGTGCATATTATGTTCTCATAGTCCACTCATTTTGATGGGAAATAGCTTGGAGCAGAAAAATGGTAAAGTATAATTAATAGCCAAACCATGCTGCATTCTTAAAATAGTTTATTCATATGGGAATGCCATCATAACTGTCATAACTTGTGTTTAGAATTACTTTCCTAGCTACTAAAATTTTCAACATGACATTTATTGAGAAGTATCCACAGTTGGTAGTTTGAAGAGTGACATGAATGATTTTGTAGTAGTAATAAATCTAGAAGCATTTCTCTCCTGTCTTACAATTTTTTTTAATGAATTTTCTCTTCGTCTAAGCTGCCCACAGTAACTCATATCCATGTTATAAGTCAGGTATAATTAGTCCGTTTTCCAAAAATCCAGTCAGTCACTACTGTTCTTGAATCTATGATAGTTAAGACCTTTACAAACAATACTAAGGATGGCAGGCATGTGGGTTTTGAGAAACCAATAACCTCATAAAGGAACAAACCTATCAAATGTGCGACCTATTTGCTCAATAACCCACAAATGAAATAGAAATCTAGCTGTCTGCATCATAACTCGGCATCGCCAATGTGATTATTTCTGATTGGAAAAAGACATTAAAAAAATGAAATATATCTCGGTGCCATCAAGACAGAAGAAGACCTGATGATTCCCACACTGCTCGCAGGTGGAGCAAGGAACGTATGTGACAGTGCTCCCAGAGTCCACGATCAATGCAAATTCCTGAGGCGGTGTCCCGATAAAGAGCCTCGTAGTGTAATACCTAATATAACGTACAAACAAATAGATCTATCAGCAAAAGAAACCTAATTTTAAGTGTGGAACGCAATCATCCCCAAAGAGATCCCAGACGCAAAATTCCATCAGCATAAGCAAAAGGAATCGAAAGAAATCAAGAATCTAAATCAATAGATCAACGGACAGAGCAAGAGAAAGAGGGAGCGGCACGCACCCATTGGTGAGGAGATCGTCGTAGAGCCTCATGCGGGCGTTGGCCGTGAGCTGCCGGCCGAGAAATCGTCTCGCCACGGCGGATCGGCGGGTGGAGTTCGCGCGGGAAAGCACGAGCGGCAGCACCAAGTGCGAACGGCCTCCGGGAATGGAGAGAGCCTGGAGGGAGGGTTCCGGCGTTCCAGCGGCGCCCACGACGAGGAAGAGGAGGAAGAGGAAGCAGGAGGCTGCGGCACCTCGATCTCTCGAGCGTGCCATAGAGATAAGGGATGGGACTCCGCTCGAGGCGGCCGGGGGGAGGCGGAGAATGGCGGAGAGAGGAGAGGAGAGGAGAGGAGGGGAGAAGGAAACGATCGTCTTGGAGAAGACTTCGTGAACGAGTCATTTGGGGGGTTAAATTTGGCGTTGTGTGCCTTCGAAGGGAGTCGGTCCGTTGACAACCATCGCATAAGTTTTACCCGGGTGGGGTCCAATGACACCAACCCACGTGGAAGGCAGTCTCACTGTGGACGGCCACGATGGGGTTGACCGAAGCAAGCTGCGGACGAGATCGGAAGAAACGCTATGTCCGAATCTCGGCGTATCTAGGCTATCAGATCCGCCTTTGGATCCCGCATCCGACGGTGGAGAAATATTATCCCGTAATTTTAATTTTCTTGAATTTTACTTGTAGTGGTTGAAGGAAAGGCTAATGCGCCTAACGTGATGGCAACCTCTGTCTTTATCCGATCAAAGAGGCCAATACTATATCGTTAAGCATTGTAATTGGTGCATATAATTTTGATCTTTGATGCAGTCACTGATGTTTTTTTCTTCCTTAATATAAATAAAATATCATAAATAATATATTATATTTATTTAAATTATTAACTTTGGTTAAAAATAATTAAAATTTAATTTTGTAATCACATAAATAAGTTAACAATTTTATCAATCAATTAAATTATTAATTTATTTATTTCTTAATAGTGATGTAATTTTAAAAAATGAATAATTTAAAATTTATTTTTATATGTGGATCATAAGAAATAAATATTATATTTTTTATGTGTGAAAGTAAAATAAAAATTAAAACTAAATTATTATTTATTAGGAGACTTCATCGTATCCGATGGGGCTCTCGCCCCCTCATTTTCACTAAGGTAGTTGGAGGACTAAGGAGAGAGATTTGTTCATAAGAGAATCTTCCTAGCATCCCTTTTTTTTAATCAATTTTTATTTATATTTTAAATTTTTTGATATTAGAATTATTATAACTTGTATGATGCATATTAATATTTTAAATTTACAAATTTATGATTAATAAATAATTATCATTTAATTATGATGCTAAATGATTTCATTAATTTAATAATAGTTTTAATTTATTTAATTAGTCATATTTATATTTCAATAAATTATATATGAAATTTTATGATTTAATTATTTTTAAATTTTGAATCATGAACCTAAATTAGTTAATTTATGAAAAAAAAATAGATTTGAGGTTAATTATTATTTTATAATATTTTTAAAGTATATTTTAAAATAATAAAATTTAATTTAATAAAAGAGGTTAAATTATGGTTTGACTTAAGTTGATTCACTAGACCGGCGAATATGCCCTGACCCAGTATATGTTGTTAGGTATAGTTTAACCCATGTAGTTATATATAACCTAGCTCATGTAATTAGTACTTGTCCAGCCCATATGATTAGGCATGACCCAACTTATATGGCTAGGGATGATCCAACTCATGTGGTTATGAATGATTCAACATATGTGACGATGTATTACTCAACTTATGTGGCTAAATATAGTCAAACCTATATGATTAGGCATGACCTAACTTATGTGGCTAGATACAACATAGCTCATGTTGCTATATGTGAACTAACCTATGTAACCACGTATAGCATAACTCATATGACCAAGTACGACAAGACTCATATGGATAGGGCATGCCCAACTCATATTGCTAGACACGATTCAATCGATGAGTTAAACGATACCTAATTTAATGATAAAGCTCAGCCCAACTCATGAATGAGACTCAGCCTATCCCGCATAGTTAGACTCGCCCAATATACAACTAATGTTAGATACATCGTCGCCCCTCTATCTAACTCGTTGTCAACCTAATCTATTACCTGGGATAAGCATATGTAATGCACATGATCCGTCCAAATTTCAAATGAGTCAGTTTGGTCTAAACTTGGTATTATGCGACAGTCGAATTTTCTATTTATTTATTGATTTGAGCTTGTTAGTTGAATAAATCAGATAGGTTTAATTGGTTCCAAACTAACCTAACAAGCTTAAGCCTACTTGACCTAATTGAATTCAATCAAGTCTAAATTAGATCAATCTATGATGATTCCAGATTGGTTCCATAATAATTTGAGATTAGCTTCGTTAGATTGAATTGAGTTTGGTTAAGTCAATTCAGTTATTCTAATTAGGGTTCAAGTTGATTAAGGACTCTTGAGAGATTATTCTAATTAGCTTCAAGTTAATTAAGGACTATTAAGAGATTAATGCCTTGTATCTTTATGATTTGATGAACTTAAAAAATTTATTTTAAGTATTATTTAGAAATAATTTATGATTTTCTCTTTTTTTAGTTAAATTAATGATATTAATATGATTATTATCATATAGTATATGTGAGTACATTGACATATTAAAAATATAACCAATGAAAGGAATTATGGATCTATAGGCCACCAATGAACATAGTATATAAGTCATATATTAGGCATATCTCTTATAATATTTTATCATACTACTTTTTAAAAAATATAAATGAATTATCTTTATTAACTATGTATCTTTATCGAGAGCAAATAAAGTGATTTACTTTTAGAATTAGTAGGCTGTTAGATGGTTCCTCTATTGGTAATCGGAATAAACACATCTCTACTTAGCTAAGCTAGATGAGGTATACTATTTTATTCACTGTTAGGAGTGTAATATAAGTTCTTTTTATTGAACGAAATTTATTATGTAGAATATATCTATTCATCGATTGTTATGATAGTATATGATATATATATATATTTTTTATTATATATGTATTCATTTTATTATTACATATGAGTGATTCATGATTTTGCTTTGATTATTCTTGTCCTTTTGATACATGAGTTTCATAATGAATTAATATATTATTATATTAAATTAAATTATATATATATATATATATATATTATGAGTATTAAAATTTAATTTTATGATTTTTCAAAGAATCTTATGAATGTGTGATTGTTGATATATGTTTATTTTATATTTTTTTTTAGAGTAATATACTACCTTATAATATATATATATATATATATATATATATATATATATATATATATATATATATATATATATATATATATATATATATATATATATATATAAGATTTAGAACGGAGAAAGCCTTTTCGTCACTTATGACCCGATATATATTTTTTAATTAAAAATATTTAATATTATATAGACTGAAATTTGAATGAAAGATTAAAAAAACCTTATGAACTATGAAATAACAATTTATTTATTTTTATAAGTATGGAGTGTGATATTTGATGATAGGTTTTTAAGAGGTTTCATACGATCTGCCCATCGACACAAAAATCTCGTCTCTGAGTAGGATCAATAATAATTATAATTATTATGTACATAAAAATTGACCGTATCAAACTTGTTATCCTCTCTATACGAAGAGGAATACTGAAACGAAAACTAATAGAGGAGTTACAGAAATGACATACGTTTTACGTCCACTGCATCAACGCACAGTTCATCAAAATCATGCAAATTAACAGATGACTATTATCTGTTGTCCCACTTCAGCAATCACAGCAACAGCAGAGAGAGAAACAACGACAGAGTAAAAGGCTTGTCATCTCTGCGCTACTCACGCAAAGAGTGTCATGCGAAGAGCACAGAGATTTCACACATAAAATAACGTAAACTCAGTATGTCAACTTCCTAAAAGTAATCTGCTAGACAAGAAAAAAAAGATGGACAGAGAGTCCACCAGCCTCTATCGCTTCCTCGTAGACATGCAAGACTGGTGTTGGGTCTATTTGTTTGGCATGATTACCCCATCAGAGGTTGGTGGCCATTAGGTAAAGATATCATCGCATGGCTGATGATGCCATTGGATTGGGGTTGGAGAATGAGGTGTGTTCCTCTGCGGGAGAGTTCCCGGTGGTGTTTATCGGCAGCCCTACTCAAAACGGATGACCCAATGAACACCTCTTCTCGTCAGAAATGTCAGCTCGAGGTGACAATCCAACATGCGTTCTCGAATGGTTATTATTGTAATTTAACGGACAAGCCGCTTCAATCGAGAATTGACAACAGAACCCTTAGCCTATCTTCTTCGTTGATTGCATTATTTTCTATTCATATTGATAATGATAGCTTTAAACATATGTTATGATTTTTTTCCCTAATGATAATGATCTTTTTTTATTTATATTTATATTGATAATGATTTTTTTCTTCTAAATGATCCCGACTTAAGCAGTCGTATTAGGTACATCCTCGATATATTTTTTGCATCATAATACTAAATTTATAATTAAAATCTAATTTAATAATAATTATATCATTTTATAAAAATATAATTGTAATTATAATTTTTTTTCCTCGGAGTGATGTGTTGAGTAAGTCATATCTTTACTCGTAAAAATGACGGTATGAAAATTCTCAAAAAATAATATAAGAAAAAGGGAAACAGGAAACTTCTTGGCACTGCAGCAGAGACGGTGGTGAAGTTCCAATTTTTATTGGCCACGACGAGTAGAAAAGCGGCCATTATTGGACTCTGGTCAGCTCCTCGATTCATCCATTCTTTAACTACAACAGCTTGCATACCGTGCTGGGTCTTTTCCTTCCTTTTGACTCATATGAGGCTTCACCATTGATGGCCACCAAGCTTCATGTGCACCTTCTAATCTGCACTTCCAAGAACTCTACGGGAAACTTCCACTCCCACATTTGGCTTGTTGTGTCCCCCAAGTCATGACACGTTGACGATCACGATGTACGTACGATATGTTCTTCTAATTACTACCCGTATTAGTTCACCACTCGAGTAGATTCAGGAATCCCAGAATCCAAAAGCTTCCATCTCTCATCATCTTAGAATTCTATGCAATCTCGAATCTCACTAACTTGATAGATGTCAAATCTATATCCGAATTCGACTCGATTGTTTGTTTTCGTATCATCTCAAGCACCAATTAAAAGATACTAAGATTAAATACGACTTAACGAGTCAAACTGAACGACTCAAGCTGCCGACCTTACGAGTCAACGGGTCGGCCTCCAGTTCGGTGCACATGCACCGGCGGCGAACCAAATCGATCCGGCATTTTTAATGGGTGAGACTCGGTTCATCTCAGCGACCGCCGCCCACCTTCAATATGG